TTGTTCCTAGTAGCTTCTTGTTACTACTAGTAAGGCACTTGTTACTAGTAGCGATGCACTTGTTCCTAGTAGCTTCTTGTTACTACTAGTAAGGCACTTGTTACTAGTAGCGATGCACTTGTTCGTAGTAGCTTCTTGTTACTACTAGCTTGTTACTAGTAGCGATGCACTTGTTGCTAGTAGCTTCTTGTTACTACTAGTAAGGCACTTGTTACTAGTAGCGATGCACTTGTTCCTAGTAGCTTCTTGTTACTACTAGTAAGGCACTTGTTACTACTAGCGATGCACAAACTGCGCAAGACAGTATGATCGATCTAGGGAAAACAGTTTGCTTTCACACCTCCTCAAGCAGCTGAGTGAGGATTGCCGACTCCTCATACATCGCTTCGTAGAACTTCTCCTAGAAACAAGCCCATCCACACACAGAGTGAGTTCAGTGTTGCGCTGTCTAGAAAGGAATTCAGCAATTCGTTCCTGAATCCCTGTCCTGACGTACCAGTAGAAAGGAAGAGGTGTAGCCGAGAAGAAAACTAAAAAGAAGGCCCAAAGTGCTCCTCTCAGAGAGCAAGACTGGGTCTTGTGTGCAAAGCTGGCACTTTGCCTATGAAAAGGAACATGGCAAGTCAAGCGTGAATGAATGTCTCTGAATTGAGGACCACTTTAAGAAGCTCCTGAAGAAGACTTGCATCGCTTCTGGTACCCCACCACAAAGACCAAGGAAATCCAAGCAAAGCGTCCTAAGGATGCCAGTGCCAACGTCCTTTGCGGCAACCAGAAACTTTGAAGCCTCTGGTGGCACCAACCCGCAAAGTGTGAAGTTCTTGGATTCTTTTGTTTTCTCAGATAGGCCATGAGTCAAAACCGGGGGACCGACCGGTTGACCACCCCTATTCTGATCAGAATAGACTCATCTACTACTAGGGAGGTCACTCTCCCACTTCTCGGGGCTCGTTTTGGTGATCACTTCACTTCGACGGAGACTTTGCACAAAGCCACGTTTGGACTTTGCCAAAGAACGAACGTCAAGTGGTTGAATGCCTAAAGACGGCGATTGCAAACATATTAACCATATTTAAACCATAGTTAACCGTTATTTAACCATTATTTAATCAGTTCATCCAAACATCATGTGGCCCAGTTGTCAATTTGATTCCAAACACATCTCTAAGCCATAACCTCTGGATGTTTTAATCTTGCTTTACCCTTAGTATCTCTTAGTTATATAGTGCACTGGGCAAGACCTCGGCGATGCAAACAGGGTTGCTGATCTCCATTGATGAGCTCTGCGGCATTCTCCCTCAAGTAGGGATAGGCCCAAGCAGCCACAGGTCCAGCAGCCAAGCCCGCTAGCAACTGCCACCAATGCTTGAAAACGAACCCTTGTGCCTTTTCCACTTGTTGAGAAGGTTGCTTGATGCTATTGAAGCTCAATGCACACAATCAAAATGCTACTTAGGACAGAACATACACATACTAGTGAGTGATTTATTTCACTTCATGTCATGACCTCTCTGTGGCTTGCAAGCATGGCCACCAAGGTGGACTATCGTGAGTGTCAGATCGCCACCTCCACTTCCCGCAGACCACGCTCGCGGAGGGCGATGATGATCTGAGGCAGCTTGTTGGCAGTATTTCTCCTTTGCCTTTTGCGTTTACACATCAGGTTGTGTCCCCGTTCTAGGTGCTTTGATCCGTTCTTCAAGCTTCTTGGCTTCGGATTCCTCCCAAGTGTGCGACAAAACACATGAACATTGAAGCTCTTGTGTGCGGCCACCTGCCCACCCTACGATGCTTCTTTTGTGCCTCCCCAGTTGAAACACACCACAATCGGAAAAAAGCACGGTTCTTTTGTCATCTTGTCACGCCGAGAATCATCTTCACCACGTCGTCCACGACGCTCTTCTCGCTCTTGTCGCTCCAGGCGCTCGGTTCGCTCGGCACGGCTCTCGCTCTTGCAGCGAAGGCTGCCTGGCGTGGTCAGGTGGGACCAAAATAGCTGAGTGGCACGGAGAATGTGCCTAAGGCACACTGCAGGGCAGCCACCTGTGCGGCACGTGTTGACCAAATGAACATGCTCTCTTTACAAAAAACAACAAAGGACATCTGATTTTTTCTTCGAATGATGGCCAGGTTAAACTTAATTCTAACGTATCTTTAATATATAACTTATATATTTCGTTCTTTTTTTAAAATTGTGTTATTTCTATTTATTTTTTGTTTAAAAATAGCGTCTTGTTACTAATAGTACGGCCAGGAGCCCCTAGTAGCGTCCTTGCTCCTAGTAGCGATGCCAGGAGCCCCTAGTAGCGTCCTTGCGCCTACATAGCCTCACTGCGGAAGGCTGAAAACATCTCACACTTCGACCCTCGACAAAGTCACCCTCGACACCTTGGCGGTGCAAAAGACCAAGCAGCTGCTCGATAAGCTCAGCTTTGCCCTGCGAAATGCAGCAAGTGGAGATCCAAAGCACGCAGCTTTGCCTTATGTGGAAGTTGTCTTTAAGTTTCCTCTTGTGATATTTAGATGTCAACTGAATACGATGCGAGCATTTCTGAATATTTCTGACACTCCGTGTTGACACCTCAAATACCCTAGTGTCTGCTAGTTCCGCTAGCACGTTGCCCGAAAACATCAGCAATAGTTACATTCTAAAACATGATAAAAACAAACCATACATATAACTATAACAGTGTGCCAAGGTGAAAGTGAGCATGGCGATGCTGTTCTACTTACGACAGCCAGCAGCCGAAGCGTCAAGATACTTTAGGAGATGCACCACATGCCGCACACCACATTCCCCACCTGCGATCATCTCTAGGCCTGTCTTGCCTTGCACGAGTCTAACGCCCTGGTTGAATCTCAACTCACAAAAAACTTTCTGTTGAGCATCGACTCGCCATGTTTTACCTTCGGCCTCATTCCATTCTGTTGTTTGCAAACATATTCTCTTTGCAGGGGCGCAGCACTACTGGGCTGGAGGCCATCGCTATTAGGTAAGGGGGCAGAGCGGCCTTCTAAAAAGTCCAAAAACAACTTTGGTGTCTTGGAGACACGAGGCGTGGATGTCACACAAACACAAGTCTCACAAGGACTCATCTCCGGCGTTGTTGCGAAGTGACTTGAAGAGCCCAAGCGGCATTTCATGGTGACACAAAGAACATGTCATATATAATGTCATATACAATCCAAGCAGCAAACCTGTGATTATCTTTGATTGTTCATTTGCTTCTCTCCATCTGTGACAATGCCATGCAAACAAATGTGTCCCCAACTCGGCGGCATCCCTAAGAAGCCCACAAGCCCACGAGATGCCACGAAACGTGACACGACATGCACCTTCCAGTTCTCCACGTAGGTAAAGGCCGTAAAGGCCGAAAGTCCGTGGCAATGGGAGGGCCCATCATCTTGCTGTGCAATGAGACACTCCCTGGGTGTCTTGATGATTCTTGACGTCTTTCAAAGTCCTTGTTTCAAGCTTCGCCCAAAAAGCTAAGCTGGTTAGATATGTAACAATCTTTTAGGTTCTCAACCCCCCCCATTCTTTCTGAGACTCAGACTCTGGTTCTTCAGTGCGATGTGCCCACATATTCTGGGAACCCCTAAATAGGATTCACTTTTGGATATGCGAATTCGCTAGCTCGCACATCTGTGTCCCTCCTTCCAGCATCTGAGTTTGCTGCTAATGGCTGCACTTTTCGACCCAAACACCGAAGCCTTTGACGACCGATTCTCACCTTAAAGCCTGTCTGTGACCATCTCAAAATGGTTTCAAAAGAATGCTTGAGACATCTGCTATGCTTCCGCCTTTGTTTGCGCAATGCCAATGTCATGTCATTGGCCCTACTGAAAGCGGCGCACTTTGCGCTGCCAAGTGAAACAAAAGGTCCATGCCTTCTTTGGGACAACTCTATTAGAGTCTTCTTCTGTGCGCAACTTCGGGGAATCACAGTGTCCATGATGGGAAACCTGTAAGCCATTGGGTTGACTGAAGTAAGCACAACAAACTCTCGAGGCTTTCGTTCCAAACGAAGCATCGATCACACCGAAGCTGCAAAGAGGCTCACCTACTGCGATTAATCTGGCTCGACCTTGCCGGCAGGTCAAGTGAGCCAGGTAAAAGAGGCAAAGGCTCATGATGCTAAAGGACAAATGAATTTAATACCTACTGGATTGAAACATGCCATGGCCTTACAGGATGAGATTCAATGTCTGGTCAATTTCCAAGTTCCTTTAGCTCCTTTGCCCTCTTTTGCGACGTCCTAGCTTCTAAAAACATACGCCACAAGCGCGCTGGATTCAGCAGCAGCTCTCAGTGGCCTGACTTCCTGACGACAGCAACATGAATTAAGAGGCTGACGGAAAACGGTCATGACGGAATATCAGGATTTCAACTCAGTGTCCTTAGAATTCCGCGTTGCCATCATTCTGCCTCGGTTGATCACTCTCCAGTCAAAAGAAAACACATCGTTGAACTTGCGTGTTATATCTGACAAACATGCCAATCGCGCGTAATTTTCACAAGGCTCTTTACCCTGGTAGTCATTAGTCAATGATGTCAGTGACTTGCAATGCCTTGCATATGTTTTGATCTCTTAATTACTTGGTTTGAGGTCTTGGCTGGGTGAGGCTTTGACTGAGACTTCCTGAGATTGGGTGCTTGCAGGACATCCAATCCACACTGGACCAGGAAACTGACCCGGAAACTAAGAACCTACGCAAATAAGATTCTTCTGAAGACGTGTGGCACATCTGATGAGAAACTCAATGAAACTCATAATATGGAGCAACAAGGCAAATCAAGCCGTGTAGGTGTCAGGCCAAGGCCGGAGGTCATCAGCCCTGTCATGCATGCGCGCAGCGCCGCGCCGCTTGCGCTCTTCCAATGAGATCATCCAAGGCTTGCCCTGTAAAAGCTTCTGATTTCAAAGTCTTCAAAGTTGGACTCCTGGCCTGTTGATCCAGATCCCACTGTGGTACTGGATCCTACAAGCCCGAATCGAATGTCAACACCAGGCACTGCCAAACACCTCAAAAACAATCGAAACTCACCACTGAAACACACTTGCCGGCATGCACAAAGCAACTTCTCACCTGGTAGCTTCTATCCAAACTGCTAGGCACTACCCACGCTAGAACTCTCCAAACACGAGCTGACAAAGTGGGGAACGAATTGTCTGCGGCCTTGACTCGTCAAACCGGTGGACCTACAACCTACGACAGTCGGTACGGTGGCACACCGCCTACGACGTGTAGCACGTCATCGGCTACGTGCTACGTCGGCGTTGCTCCCAGCCTTGCTCAGCAGGACCTGCCTGCAGACATGACTTCGTAGCTGGTTCTTGTATGAGAATCAACCATGTGTCAAAACATGAGTCAACGTAGCCACGCACGGTCACTTTGCACTTCTTCGGCAGGAAGTCGAAGCATGTCCATTTCTATCCATTTCTCAACGTCGATGCAGGTCTCGGAGCCTTGTGCCCTGTGCGCTTTTTGGGCAGCAAGCCGCCTGAGACAAAAACGAACGGTGGCAAGCTTGAGATCAGCAGCTCCAACGATCCTAACTGCCACTCAGCCTATGATCTCGCCTAACATCATCTAACGTCGTTGAACAAACCGCTTCCCATCCCTGGCCTGATGAATCAATAGGAGGAAAAAGGCCTGGACATAAAGTGCGCAGCATGATGCAAAACCTTCACTCCTCTGCCAAATCAACACTTAGCGGCCTGGCCCTAGCGATCTTGCTACGTCCACTGTAGCAACGAGCAGTGACATCCCAGGCGAGAACAGCAGCTTTCTTGGAGTACTTGATTTGATAGACTGTTCAGGAACTCTACCTCCCTTGATCAATTGAAAGTGTTTAGATGGCTTTGCTGAAGTGTAAATGACCAAACAAAAGGCCACAGGACTCTTTTTCTAGATTCTAGTTTAGGGAGAAGGTGTTGTAGAGCGCAAAAAAAAATCTCGCTATAATATATATATATATAGGTAAACCAATAGTCTCTGGCGATCTCCTTTTGAGACAATGATCAGCATCAGCAACACATCAGCCTAGGAAAACCAAAACGTCCCATGCTCACAGGCCGTCGTATGGGCCTGATCCATTTCCCACTGTTGCGCCAAAGCCTTGGCACAAAATCTCTGGAGTGACTCATCACATCTCTGGAGGCTTCGGCCAAGGCTTCCTCACTTTTCCAAACTGACAGCTTTGTGTCAAATGGTGCCTGTTGAAGTGCCTCCCGTTCCGCCGAAGCCGCCTGGATGGGACACACTATGAAAACACCCGCAGGGGTAGGTCTACGGAAAAGCACCTCGTTGTGACATTTATGACTAGGACAGTAGTCTTTGGCTCGGTTAGGGTTAGCAGCAGTACTCCCAGTACCCACCAAAATATGTCAAAAAACACATTGAAGTGGAACGCATCCTACTTACAGAAGGAAAGTCTGCCAAGCTGCCTGTGGAGGACATCTGTTGGACTCCTCTCCGGCCTAAGCAAATTGATGCACTATCGGAGAATGAATGGCCTCCGACCTAAGAGCGATGGCCTCCAACCTAGTAGCGATGGAATGAACAAACGTTTCAATTGTCTTGGAGTTTCAATTTTCCGCAGCTATGAGGAATAGCTCGGTAGCGGTATTGATCAACAACCTGAAATTGTCATCGGGAAGCAACCGTAGCAAACAAAACAATCAGTCAAGTCTGTTGGACTGATATCTTCAAAGAGGAGCAAGGACGCTACTAGGGGATCCTGGCATCGCTACTAGGAGCAAGGACGCTACTAGGATTTCTTCAAATAACAGTAATGCCGCTCTGTCAGTGGACACACTGAACGCACCCCTTCCGATGCAACGCAGTCTAAGCCACTGCGATGGCTCTCTGGTGCAGCACCAGCACCCCGTGTCCTAACATCGAGGATCGTGAGGCTTCTGTGGATGGCCTTCTGATTCTGAAGTCTTTCGAGCTTCCAACAACTTGCATTCGAAAGTCGGCCTTTGTGACCAGTTTGATGTCTGTCACAACACATGTCATGAATTCAAACACGATTGTATAATTATATATACAGATCAAAAACGCAGCTAGTGAAACTGTTCAAGATCTGAGGAAGGTTCCAGGCTCCACTCAAGAAGCCTTCGAATCTATAATCTATCGTATCCTCTCTTTCTCCCCTCTCTCCTTGATGATTGTGCTTCTGGCCTGTCACAACAATGGCCCGTGAACAAGCATATTTGAGGGAACAAACTACAGTAACGTAGATGGGACACCAGAGGAAACATCGCTTGCAAAGTGTTTTGAGCTCGTGGAATCAACATGCTAGTGATACGGAGCTTAGAAAGTGAGTTGCCACGTCTGTACATCTTCCCATGGAAAGGTGCTAGCTGGACAAATTGCGATCGAGATGCATGCGCCCAGGTGGAGCATCTCGGGTGTGCCTCATAGAAAACATTGCATGTGTGTGTGTGTGTGGATAAGATGATACTTTGTGAAGCTCCTTGGGCATTCACTGAAGTAACACATGCACATCAACACGTGAGTGAAAAAAACGTGCAAATAACATCGAACACCCCTGTCTCTTCCTAGAATCTTTTGCTGCGGAAAAGTGCTGCAATTTTCGGACATCAAGATCCACACTTGGCATAGCACTCGAGGATCCACTCCTCAAACCGATGGGCATGGCCACAAGCTTTGGCCCAAACTGGATTGCTCATACTAGCATGGCACTTGTTTCTAATGGCTTCTTGTTGCTACTAGTAAGGCACCTGTTACTACTAGCGTGGCACTTGTTACTAGT